GCTAGGGCTTCGAAGGTTTTTGATTCTGAAGGCGGCAAATCCGCAGAGCGAAAAAAGTCTCTGCCTCCCTCTCCCCTCCCACCTCCAATCTACACACAATAAAACCCCATCATTGCAAACACCACAACATAATCGAAACCCGTCCGTGACTCCAGCGCGTCCCATACCTGATATGCAGACGATGAAATTGGCTTGAAGAAGAAAAAGCACCTCCCAGACTATTTCCATCCTCTGATTCTCATTCCAAGTGCATCACTCGACGGGAAAACAGGGGGGGAAGGGGGGAGCCCGACACGGCACACACACATACACACGCGCGCACACTCCCGAGCGAGTGCACACTCGCACTCCCACCCGACAGCCGGCCAGGGACCGTCACCCCCAAGATCAATATCGCAGTTTGAATTGTTCCGGCAAATCTCCCCTCGGGCTGGACGGATGTGCGCCCCAGATGTGCTGACACATGTCCGATGCCTCGCCGCCTCGGAGGTCTCCCTGCTCGTGCGCCTCTGCTCCTAGCACCAGCGGCGGAAACAGTACTAGCAGCGGCGGAGGCGGCAGCCACCTGAAGCCACCAGCGCTGGGCTCTTTTTGCAAAAACGAGACCCCGATCCGCCTGGCGCCCCAAGAAGACATAGACGGTAGCCCCCCGCCGGGCCGCGCCGAGCAGTTCCGGGCTCCCGGCAGCTGGTAGCTCGCTGGCTAAACCCAGGCAGTCCGCGGCAAGTTGCCCTCGAAGTCCGCCCCCCTCACCGGGGCATGGTCAGAGGGTGGCTGCTCCGCTCCGGGGCCGTTCTCCTCCTGCTTCCGGGGGGCAGGGGGAGGAGCAGACACAGCAGACAGAGAAACAGAAAGAGAGGCAGGGGTTATTGCCCGAAAACGCCGCCCCTTCGCCTGGGAGGGGGAGCGTCGGGGGCTCACCGGCTCCCCACGTCGCGCGCGCGCTTTTTGCTCCTTTGCTATTTTCCTGGGCTCCCCAGAACCCCCAGATGCCTCGCTTCCATCGCCCGCAACTAGAGCTGCCGCCGAGATTTTCCGCAATGCAACTGCAGGGGTCGTTATTTCCTCGCCTACGGATCCCGACGCTTCCCGATTCAGGGAGGAGGAGGAGGAGGGCAGGTGGGGGCGGGAGGAGGAGGAGAGGGAGGCTCGGCCAGGTGAGCGTCCCTGCTGCCGCCGCCCGGAGTCCCAACGTCAGCCCCACCGCCCGGCACCTGGGGGCGGAGGCAGGAGGCCAGGGTGGGGAGGTGAGGCTGAGCCGCCTGCCAGTTCTGCGCGGGAGACCCAGGCGGGACTCATCCTGGGAGTGCTGTGCCGTGCTCTCCCTCCGCTGCGGAATATTGGGGATTTTTTTTTTTTTTTGCATAATTCATTCCCTGCCTTCTCCCTTTCGTCCCTCTTCTGCTCCCTCCCCCCTCTTCCTCCTTTCCGCTCCAGAGACAGAACACTACTTACCCCCAGTACTCCTCTTTGCAGGTTCCAAGACCAGACGCAACTCTTGCCTGCAAGTCCCTCACCTCCCTCCTCCCGAAAGGGGAGAAAATCGGCTTTCCAAGTCCAGGCGCCAGCAGCAGCTGCTGCCAACTGCGCCTCTACCCAGCTTGGGAGGATCTGAGACTACTGGCAACTCGGAACGGGCTTCCCTTCTTGTCTTTCTTTTATTCAGTTTTTCTTCAGGGAAGCCCTAGAGCTTTGTTGGCTTTTGCTGGGCTCCAGGATACTCTCCGCCAGCGACACTCAGCAGCTTCCACTGAAGGAGACTTCCCCACCAAACCCGCACGCGCGCACACATGCCCAGCGCGCGGCTCTCCACGGCCCCAGGGGAAGGTGGGGGCGGCGTGAGCACCCCACCCAACATCCAGGCCGAGGTTGGAGCCAGCGGGTCCCCAGAAGATCTAGAGACAAGGCAGTCTGTCTGCAGCCAGGGAAGGACTCGCACCGGGTTGCAGTGTGCATGCAGGGAAATTGGCAGGGAAGCCTGCGCTCGGGACTGTTCGCCTGGGAGCTGGGGGCAAAAGGGGAACGACATATCGCAGACCTGTGTGCTTCTATCGCTGCAGTAGTGGTTTGGAAAGCACCAGACCTACCTCTTTGTGGGTGCTGAAGAAGGAGTTCAGGGAAGAGGGAATCCCTGGAAAGATCTCGGATGTCTCGACGCGCCTGTCCCGATCGCGAACTGTGACGTCGGGAGGTTTTGCACAAGCGCGGATGGACACACACAACAAACACAGACACACGCATAACCTGCAGGGAATGCTTCTGCACTTTGAAATGACTGATGTTTAGAAGCCATTTCAGAGTGAGCTTCTCGGTCTAGGAACCGCATAAAGGGCAGATGAGGGAGGAAGGAGATGCACGAAAGGGTGCAGATCATCCGTGCAGTCAGTCTAGTGAGTCTTCCGGTGGAAATGCCTGTACCCAGGCTGGGAGACGCTGGAGGATTTGGGGTGGGAGCCAAAGGAGTTACACTACAGTGCCCCTAGGGTTCTTGAAGGGACTCCAACTGCCCAGGAGTCTGGGGGGTGGTGGAGGAGTGTCTTTTTGCTGAGTGGTGGGGAGAGAAGGGAGGGGCAAGAGAGACAGCACAGCAGAGAAGCCACTCCCCAGCTGCCTGGGCTGGGCCGA